CACCTTATGTCACTCCATTTTTTATTACGACTCTCAATGCTCCATTTTACTCGTCTTCTGTATGTTCGTTCCCGTTTCTTCAGATTTACTATTAAGCAGGAGATTTTTTCATCTTCTATTCGAACTTTTCTAGAAGATCTGATGTTGATTTTTATATCTCGTAAGTGTAGGATCGTAACAAGTAATATAGTGGACCAACTGTCCGGATATTGTTCACATGAGGACTACTATCTAACAATTGGTTAAGTTATTCATAACTTTAATTTGATCGAAAACAAATAATAAAGTTTGGTGATTGGTGTCTAAATTATTTTAATTAAAACTACGTTATCTAACGTACACAATTTGTCGAATTTTGGTTTTAAAAGTATGAATGTTGATACTAGGACTTACAATTTTACATACGGATCCCCTTTAATTCTTCAATCAAGATTCATTACTATTGTAGTGATATCCATCTCGAGTTCTCATTGAATCTATTTAACTAATTCAATTACATATTTTTATGTGAATCAATCTTAGTTAAACAAAGTATTTATTCTAAGAATTCATCTAATTACCACAATAATTAGTATATGTATCTCTATACGTTATACTAAATTACCGAATTTTACTATGTGGTCTAAATCTAAAACTCACATCTCGATTTGTAATAGATTCACAAAATCATTGAATAATTAGCCAAATAATTCAAAGCATTAAATTCATAAATAAAATCAACACATGCATTTAAAGAATTGGAATCTTAAATAAAAGAAATAAAGGGTCATACATAGATTACATTGTTCGCCATATCTATGAATTTAGATACTCATAATAATGAAAGAAAACAAAAAGTATGGAGTTCATAATCAGGTTTTGAAATCTTCATCATGGAAGGAATTTGATCTTGCATCAAGAATATTCTTCAACCTCTAAAGTTTTCAAACCCTAATTTTTGCTCTTTGATCTTGATAATTATGTGTTTTTCTCCACGCCGTGGCGTTGCGAAGACAGAATTGCGGCGCACCTCTTAGGAGAAAAATTACACTGCACCTCTTTTAGTATTTTTATTATAGCTTCATTTCCTAATATCCGATTGACGCGATTTTAATTGGATTGTAAAGATAACTTAAAGGGATACAACTTTACTAGAAATATCTATTTTCCAATTAGAACATTTACTAGGCCAAAAATGGGTTTCAATTTCCAGATGAAAATCTGGAACATCCTTGTGCGATTGAAAATTGATTTGTGAAAATATTTTGGTCATATTTCACTTCTTTTGACTTCTAATTGCATCCATTTGACCCTTAGCATTCTCGAATCTTCATCGTGAGTTTCGGCATAACTTTTGAGTATTTACACTTTAGTCCCCAAACTTTAGATCATACCTATTTTTTTGACAATTTTCACTTCTTTCTTTCAAATCCACTTCCATCACCTAATAACACATTGTAAAATAAATTAGGCTATAATTACATTAAAAGAATTGCGAAATATCAATATGTTAGAGCTCGAATAAAATACACTTGTTAGTTTCCAAAGAACCTAAAAATTTGCGTAGAAATAGGAGACCAACAACATCAATTAAGGCGATTTCATACTTGCTTCAATTTAGGGTTATCGCTTGCTTCAGTTTAGGGTTTTCCCTTTTTGAGAAATAAATTTTTGATCCGTCGATTTGTGATGATTTTACCTTAAAATTATTCTTGTTCAGACATCTTCTGCCTGGAGTGTTTAGCCAAAGGAATGCTTATAATAGAAATTGAAGGGGTGGAGAGCTTTTAACCAAACGACGTCTATCAAAGTGTTGTTACATCTCAGCCTGCTTTCTCTTCAGGTGAGCTCCTCACCCACTCTCTGTTTGTTCACATCTATTATTTCATTAGTCTATTGTATAATTTTTTAGTGAAGTATTGCTATGTTCCTGCCTCTTGAACTTGAACTTGTATGCTCGATTATGTTTCTGCCTCTTCAGGTGTTTAGTTTCAACATTCTAAAAATCAAGTTTAAACGTTTTTTAATAAAAAATCAGGTTTTAATTTCACAATTAATATTGATAATGATATTTTAA